CATGTCTGATTTAAAGGGTGCCCTAAAGGCAGCTTTGGAGGAGGATGAATGGTTCCAAAGGCACAAGGGAGAATGTGTAGTGCAAGATGATCTAGCTTGGGTAGAAGCTAAGCTATATGTCCCACAAAGCCAACGATTAATGGTCCCACAAAATGATTCAAAAGTGGCAGAGCACTTTTGTGACAAATTCTTGCCTTTAGTTATTGGTTCTGTTTAAATGTATGATTGGGAGAAGTGAAGAGAAATGAAGATTCAGACTTACTCATTTTAAAACTGACTTTTCCCGATTTCTCTGCCTACCTTCTTTATCCACTGCCAAATGTGATGAAAAAGATCAATATAACTAGACTTGTGCCACTAGTTAAAATGGCATTCGGGTAGATGTGGGGATATTAAGAAAAATCAAAACAATTTTTCCTTATTTGATATGGCTTTTTTTTCCTTTATACCTTCACAGTCCATATGGAGCATTGGAAAGCTGCCTTTTATTATGCCAGGCTATAATAGATGGATCATGATTTAATATGAGAAAATAGCAGAAAAGTGGAATGGGTAGAGTAAAATACAAAGAAAAATTCTCTGCCTCTGTATCACATTTTACGATTTATGACATTTCTGAAGATACAGCCTACATGGTATGAATCATGTTAGACCATAACATTTTTTCAAAGGATATTATTCTGGAACAGTTTAGGGACCATATCTAGCTGGAGCAGAAAATGGGCATAACTCTAAAGGTTTCTATGGAATTACACATGCTTGTTTTAGAGGATGAATATTCAGCAGCTTTTTTGAAATAGTAGAATAGGTAATTCAATATCTTTTTTGAGTCAGCTCTCTGTTGGCAGAAAGTCATGCAAGTTTTCAACTTGTATAGATCTCTTCATGAAGCAAACACGGAAAATAGAGAGGGTTTTTGTTTGTTTGTATATTAATGCTCAATTAAATTTGGAACATTGACAAATTTTGGCTGGATAGAACAGGAGCATAATGTTGCATGACCGCACTTTGAATACTACAACACTTTTCCTTGTGTAGAAGGTTCAGCAATGGTGATATTAATTGAAAGCATTCAAATTTAGCACCAGTAATTTTGTGGAAAGTGTGGACTGGCCTCAATTAATTCATCCCTTGGGTAATTACATCCCTTGGGTAACTACATCCCTTGGGTAATTACAGTGAACTTGGGGCAGTTTAAGAATACATTTATAAAAGAAATGTAGATCGTAAGAATTGCAAAGAAAGGAATAAAAAGGAGACAGTTCTAAATAATTTGTTTTTTCACACATTAAGTCTAAATGCATAGTTGTAAGGAATCTTGAAGGGTAGCGATTGAGTCCTTAAGCCATCATTAAGTGTAAATTGGAAGAATTCAATTCATAACAAAGGCCTGGCTTGCAGTTGTAATGTGGAATATGATTACACAAACATGACCATCTGTTGGCTACAAACTGTGACATCGGTGGTGCTGAAATTTATAACAAGCAGAAATATCTTTACACCGATGCATTTAATGCAGTGTGGCAGCTTGCAGGCTGCAGGTCTGGGCATCCCTCCACCTTTTTTTGATGTGGGTGGGAATGAATATTTAGAATCTCCCAAAGATGGTTCAGTTTCCTCTTAATTCTTAACAGAAATTGCAATGTAAAATATGCTCCAGATTTTTGATCATAGCAAACTCCCTTAATGAAAAATGAGTAGAAATCAAGCCAAAAATATCATACTTGCCTCCTTAGGTGATGTTATAATTTTTAAAAGATGGTGGGTATTGCTAATTAACAGAAGATATATTGATCAATTCTGGAAAAAACCTCTACCTTAATTCTCTTTCTAGTTTTTAATCAAAAGTCAAAATTTTTGTAATACCAAAATGTTCTAATTATAAAAGAACCCTAACTACATCTGATGAAGGAATGGCAGTAATGAATAATTTAAATGAGTTTATGTATTATATCAACCAACTATGCATGCTAATGGTGTATAACTGCTCTGCATAGCAAAAAGGCAAACTTTTCAAGTTGCTCAAGTGCAGTATTTTTAACCACTGTGTTGTTGTCTTGGAAGTGCTAAATAGCTAAATATCCAAAATCCAACTTGAATTTTTGAATTCTAGCATTTATAGCAGGGATAAAAAGATTGAAGTGAGGCTAAATATTTATATATGGTTAAAACCTCTGCTAAGACCCTGCCTTTATTAAATGTTCCCCATGGTCAGATGAGGCAATGAGATTTTAGCAGTGAAAATATGATGTAAGCACCAAAATAGAACAGTTGCACTGATAGGAAATTATTATGAAGTATGAAATAAAAATTATTTGACCTTTCATTAATCATTTACACCTAGAAACACTGAGGGTGTCATGACCCAAAAAATTACTGGTTGTCAAAATCAGGAATGTTTATAAATTTAAATTTAGAAATGTCTCTGAAGCTGAACCCAGAAGGGGCAAGAACAGAACAATCAATAGATAGGTTCTGGAGAATGAAACAAACTTGAAGGTTGCTTCCTATTATTTGAACAAAACAAAAGTAACTGAATTGTGGTAACATAGGTGATAGTAGCTAACTTAGTTTGGTTGAACGTAAAAGAATCCTAAAGAGAGTCAGACCTGGTTAAATTTATATGGGGGACTTATTGTAAATCCCAGAGGTCTAAGCTAAACAGGAAAGTTAAAAAACCATGCTGCAAGAAGATCCTGGGAAGCCACTTCCACATTGTAACAAGAAAACAAAATGGAGAATCCAATTGGCTATCAAAAGTTCAACTCAACGTGAAAAAGACTTTACTCAAGAGTTTTGATACAGAGACAATTATTAGAATGTAATTCCTTCAGGATTTAATTGTTTCACCAAGAATCTGACTTGATTAATTACTGAATTAATGACTGAAAACCTAATACATCAGACACCTAAGTGGTAGAGAGATAACATATACATCAGTGAAGAGAGAACTTAAAGTACTTTGAGTTATGAGAAGTTAGGATGGTTAGAAATGTTATAATAAATAATAAAGTCCTTTTAAGCCATCTGTAATTCTGTTCGGTCCTGGTTGATTTTCAGGTTTCTGACTTTGTTCCTAAAATCCAATCTTTGGAAAAAACAGATTCTTGAGCTCAGGTGCCAGAATAATATCGATAAAATCTAAAACCACATAATAGATGTAAGACTTCTAGTATATCTAGAAGAACACATGTGTAAATCATTTTGAGAGCTGATACTATGTTTAAAAACTCACATTCTTCACCTTCATTCCTTATGGCCATTGCTACTGAAATGATTGCAGATTTGGCTTACTTAGAGGATAAAGAATCACATTTTATATAATATAAAAGAAAGTGAAGGAATAAGACATAATGAGAAAGCAGGAAAGTATTTCTTTCTTTCTTTCTTTCTTTTTTCTTTCTTTCTTTCTTTCTTTCTAGTTCACATACACTAAAAATGTTGAGTTATCTGTCAGAAATACCTTGGCCCAAGCTCTAGGAAACAAAGAAAAGTAGAGCAGAGCCTCTTCATTAGTTTTATGATTTGACATTCTTCTTCCTCCTTTGATTCTTCTTCTCCTACTCTATTCTTGAGGTCTCTAATTATGACATATGATCTATTGAAGTGGCCAATGGCATCTGGACTTGTGTGTGTTGTAACAGACCAAACATGTAATTATAGCTGGGGCTTGCTGCACAGAAAGATCCTGCATGTTATGCTTGAGGAAGGAATTTCCAGTAGTAAAATTTTATTTCTAAAAAGAAATAAGATGGGGAAAGATGGGAGATGAATAGCAGAGAAGTCTTAAATATCTGAAGAAGTTATTCATTGCTTTTGTTAATTTATTATTAGGATTTCTGTTATCATCTACCTTCACCATTCTCCTTTTTAAATTATGGCTGATGCTAATTCTTGTTTATTGATTTGTTTGTTTATTTATATCCACCTTTATTTTTACAAATAACTCAAGGCAGCAAACATATCTAACATATCTTCCTCTTCCTATTTTCCCCTTAACAACAACCCTGTGAAGTGGGTTGGGCTGAGAGAAAATGATTGGCCCAAAATCATCCAGCTGGTTTTCATGTCTAAAATGGCACTAAAAGACACAAGTCTCCTGGTTTCTAGCCTGGGTGTCTTAATCATTAGACCAAACTGTGTGCATAATAATAGAACAGTTTTATTGGTTTAATACTAGTACATAATACTAAATTATGTAAATAAAGCACAATGATTCCCTAAAATGCCAACTCAATACTACAGTTAACTAAATGTGTCTTGTTTTAAATAACTATAGTTTAGTATGTAGACAAAATATACTGAAATATATTTCCAAAACAGAAACAAACTCCCATCCTCCCATTTTAAGAAAGAAGAGAAAAATCCATGTGCTCAAAATATTCTGTGGATCATTTTTCAATTTAAAATGCCAAAATATTGTATTTAAGTTTTACTTTGGAAACAATAGTGCTTCTTGTTCTTGGTGTTGCTTGGATTGTCTCCTTAAATTGCAGTGCATTTGTTTTCATTCTCATGTTCTTTTAGCAAAATGGAGTTTACAGAAACCATCATTCTCTTTGTGTGTGTGTCTTTGTGTGTGTTTAACTGTAATACATAGACCTGCTGAACAGCCATGACTAAATATTTTTGTTCACATAAGGAAGTCCTGGAATAGGTACCTTAAAAGTTCCTTCTATAGTTTACATAAATATTATCATTTCTATAGTATATTGTAAAGTAGCATTAACCTGGAACAATTCACATGTTTCCTTTGGCATAACTATACCTAGATTTGGTTTCTTCAGATTGCCATTGCTCCCCTTCTCTTCCTGATTTTCCAGCTCTTCTTTGCTGAATGTGTGATACAAAAAAAGAAAAAAAAACAAGCAGTGCCTGTTATTTGCATGACAGAATTAATCATGTCTTCTGCTCTGTGTCCCAAATTGGCAGAAAACAGACAGTAACATTAGATTTTTTTTATTGATATATATTTTGCTTTCTATTTTTGCACCTGACAGAACAAGGAAGTGACATGCAAACGTGAGAAGTGCCCTGTACTTTCGAAGACATGTGCTCTGGTTATTAAGCAGAGAGGAACATGCTGTGAGAGATGTAAAGGTGTAGTGTTGTTTCATTTTTTAATTAATGCTAATTTTATGTTGTAATCGTTAATAATGGCTAATAAAAAGACATTATGTGTGAATGGTTACCAATTAATATTTGTAGTCCAGAGAATCAAGATGGATCTATTATGACAATTGTAAAATAGGATTAAAAACAAAAAAAATCTTGGTTTTTATAGCAGTTGTATTAAGTGGACAGCAAGTCTCTATTGGAAGGGAGTGCTGTATTCTTCTAGTGAAAAAGAAGGTGGGCATATACTACTACTACTACTACTACTACTAATAAAAAAAAATTGGAAGGGACTTTGGAGGTCATCCAGTCCAACCCCATGCTCAGGCAGGAAACCCTATACCATTTCGGACAAATGGCTGTCCAGTCTCTTCTTAAAAATTTCCAGTGTTGGAGCATTCACCACTTCTGGAGGCAGGTTGTTCCATTGATTAATTGTTCTAACTGTCAGGAAATTTCTCCTTAGTTTTAGGTTGCTTCTCTCCTTGATTAGTTTCCATCCGTTGCTTCTTGTCCTACCTTCAGGCACCTTGGAAAATAGCTTGACTCCCTCTTCTTTGTGGCAGCCCCTGAGATATTGGAACACTGCCATCATGTCCCCCCCTTGTCCTTCTCTTCATTAAACTAGACATACACAATTCCAGCAGCCGTTCCTTATATGCTTTAGCCTCCAGTTCCCTAATCATCTTTAGGCTGATTTTTTTCCTTTAATTACACCAGGTGGCCAGTAGATATTTTACCAAATCTATCATTGACTGTAAAATTATAGCAAGCTGTATTTTTCCTCATCATTATTAGTGTGATAATATGAAAAGGATGTGCAGATGATCTGATAGTTGTTATAATGTCTACTTAAAAACATCTGCCTGATCACTTCATCGCCAAGCTAATCTGGTTCTTTTCCAGATGCCTTTTTTTCTTCTGTGTTTTTCAGGAATCTAAATGATATTTAAGTCTAAAATATTATGTTCAGTGAACAGTTGAAGTTTTACACTTTCCATGTAAAAGGTGAAAGATATTTTTGAAAAAAAAGTGGTAATGCAGTGTTGCATGACAAGTAATTGTTTAATAACAAGACATTATTTAAAAGTAAGTGTACAAAAGTATGTGTTTGCAGGAATATATTATTGATAAATATGTAGGAACTTACAAAAATTGCTATGATATTTTCACAAACATTTAACATTGCAAGCCAGGGGTCAACAAAGACATTTGACTTTTCCATAAGGCTAAACTTTTGATGCCCTTCTATCTTCTAATCTCCAAATACGTAAACCCTTTGTAAATTTATTCAAACTGCTATAAAGTACTCTATGTATGACTAAATCTGGAAAAATGAAGAACAGAGGACATAAATGGTTTTCTGACCTCTAAGTCAAATGAAATATAATCACAACATAATGGGGAAAAAATGGGAGATTCTCAGTCATCCAGATCAAAATTATCCCAAAGGTGCATTTACACGAAGCAACTGGACTTGTCTTTCTTTGAAGATGTTTCGCTTCTCATCCAAGAAGCTTCTTCAGCTCTGATTGGATGGTGGGGAATGGAAATGTCAGGTCCCCATTTTCCGGTGCCCTGCCATTCTGATGGAGGGGGGAGGAGGCCTCTCTTTGGGGAAGCATTCTTTGAATACTTTGCTCTAACACTGTAGCTACTTGGGAATTAGGGAGGGGGATCATCTTCGGAGACAGAACAGACTTCTTCCCAGCTTGTTCCAGCCTGATACCAAGATTGCTGTGCCCTGAAGATGAACTATCCAGTCAGAGCTGAAGAAGCTTCTTGGATGAGAAGTAAAACATCTTCAAATAAAAACAAGGTCCCTTGTGAAAAAGCACCTTTTTCAACAGATGTATGACAGCAGAACCCATAGTATTTCTGACAAAATCATTGAATGATGTCACTTCATCTTTATAGCTTTTTTTTTTACTTAGAGCCCTAGTTTTATGAAAGCATGCTGTGAAATCATCAGAATTGACCAGTTTATATTAAAGGCTGGCTTTAAAACAGATGAGAAAGTACTTTTCTAAATTACTGTGAACTCAGTGCATTCAAAAATTATTTTCTCATTTGATTTGCCCATGGGATCCTTGTGACATCTTTCTTGGTCATAGTGCTTACTCAGTGGAATACATGTGTGGTGTTTGCTGCTCCCAGATTATCAGCTGGGCTCTGAATGCAATTTAAAGGATATGCATCTCACTGAATAGACAAATGCAGATGGCCTTCTTTCTTCATTTATTTAAATTGTGTATTTACTTATCTGTGGTTATTTATGTGCTCCAAAGCAGGTCAATGTGTTTTGATGATGTCTATTTTTTTTAGTGCAGATATAAAGACTCTAGAACATAAAGCATCTGTTCCCTGAAGGGCATATGCCAGGAAATGCCTATCTAGACTTTGGGAAGTTCAGCTGCAGAATTTAGAACCTTGATGCAGCTGGAATAACAACAATCATGGATGCTTTGTACAACCTATCATGTATTTGTTATTCATTGCACTAGACAGCCATGATTACTAAATAAGCCACACTTAATTCAGGATTTGGGATGTCTTTCAAATAAAGGCACAACTTGATGCCTTCTGATTCCCAGAAGCCCTGGTTGTGGTCCGTAGAATCCTTCCTCAGACTGCTGAATTCATCAAATATTTCTTTGTATAGAAGAGGGAGAGTTAATTATTAAAGACACAGGGAAAATATATTACCTATATTTTATAAATTTTATAAAATATAAAATTTTATATTTTATAAAATATAATATAAAATCATATAATTTAATTTAATTGTAAATGAAATCAAGTTTAGTTTTGTTTCAATCACTATCTTTTCGGGCTGATCCAGGCTGATTTTTGGAGTATAACTATAAGAATAGTTATAGTTCTTTAGTATAAAGAAAGTTGCATACCCCTAAAAAGGAGTGAATTTTAACAAAAGTTAGCACTTTAACAAAGGTTAAAAATGAATTTTAATTATCTTGCAACAAAGGTTCTTTCAATTAAGATTAAATATATAACCTGCTTTCAGTGCATGGAATCAGATCAGGTGCCAGAAAAGGTGAAATAATGACTGAACAAAGTTGCTTAAGCATATGGAAAATGAAATGTTTTCTGGGATGGAGCAACTATAAACCAGTCCAAACACATCTGAGGAGTCAGGGAATAATTTCCATTCATAGTCATCTCTTGAGGAAAAATGTAAGTTCCTCAGATCTTCAATTAGTGACTGAAAAAGTTTAGATCTCACTTGTTGAATTTGGAACCCTTGAAAAGCAGACATTACAATCTAATTTTTGGCTTCCGATGAGAACAATATCTGCATTCAACCTAGTCTATTGATATGAATACTATCTTAATCAATTTCTTTCTAACAAAAGGGTTAAATCATGATTTTTAAAGCTATTTCCAGAATTAAGACAAAAATGCTATTTCTCTGCCTTTCATTTATTCAGTATATTTAATAAAAACATATGAGATCACAGATTGTTCTAGGAATGGATTTGGCAGCCATTCATTATTTAGTTGGATGGAGATATGTCATTTTAATTTGGGTCTGACTCCATCTGCAACAACATATATTTGCTTTCTGAATAAGTGTTATTAGTGGATTAGAGTTAGATAAGATATGTTTATGATCACAGTGTAAGCTTTCCATTGATCTTAATATGAGTGGAGGGCAGATACCATTACAATCAGAGAAAGATAAAGTTAAGAGCCTATCCAGTTATTAAATTCAGTTAGTTAGGCAGGATTTGTAAAACATCAGTTCTCAACTTTTCTCTAAGCTGTGTCTGACAACAGCTTAAGAATGTGTCTTTTCCTGCCTTTCCTATCCAACTTAATTTAATTTTCAGTTGCATAGAAAACTCAGGTCAGATCCATATGCAGACTTAAAATGCCCTGTTAGCCATTTTCTGTGCTCAAAGTAGAGCTTGGAAGTTAATATCATAGTTTGAAGTAAATTTGTAATACTCTATTGCAGCCTCACAGCAAATGAACAAATTCTGATACTACAGTATTCTTGATGGCTGACCAACCAGGGCCCATTTAAATAAATTTCTCTGATAAAACAGAATTTTTTCTGTGGAAGCCTTGGGGTTCTCTAATTTGCTTGCTTGCTCATTTCATTATCCAACTAGATAACAACATCAGTATAAATAAGTGGGGATTTGCTAGCTATTGATATCTAATAGCACTGACTACTTTTGATTTCCAGAATATTCAACATCCAGCAATCACCACTCAGATAAGCAGCAATCAGCACCAGAAAAACAATTATGCAGAAAACAATTCCCTACAATTATAGCATTGTAAGCTGCCCTGTGTCACTTAGAATAGTGAGATAGATAGCAAATCAAACAAGCAAGCAAGCAAGCAAAGAAGCAATCAATCAATCAATCTATCAAAGAGAGAAAACCATATTGCCACCAACACTGGAAGGACAAACTACTGTATAAACAGGGAGCAAGCTTCATTTTCATTAACAGTGATGATATTACCTAGACTTGCTATGAAATGTCTGCAAACAAACAATCAATCTCAGAGAGCACCAAAGTTCTGATAGTTCACCTCTGAGCTACTGATATTCTGTTCTGTCAGAACCTTTTCTATTGGGATATTCTATTTAGTCAAATATATAGTCAAATTCCATTTTTCTCATAATTTGAACCAATTGACTTAGCTTGGATTACTCTACCATCCATTTCATCTTATTTGTTAAGTTTTGTCACTGATATCTGTGAGAATTCCTCTTATGTTTAATTTGTAATTTAAATGACAGTTGTTACATTAGAAAGCTTTCAAAGTTTTATAAGTGTATGTTCAAAAATCCAAGGGAATTTTCCCATAACAGTTTGATTTTCAGAAAGTTGGTCTGAATTTTAGATTGGAAAACTGACATCAGGTTACTTTGTCTCATATATAGTATATACAGCAATAGTAGTTACTTTTAAGTCCCAGTCAAAATTTATTTTCATATAGATTATTGG